AATGATGAAACTCAGCAAGATAAAGTACTGGTTGGCCTATCTTTCTACCCGAGCTAAGTCAGGTCATTATTGAAACATGATACACTTCAAAACATTTGCACCGACAAATTCATTGGTTCATTGATAAAACAAAACAGAACCCACGAAAATAAATTCTTGTGCTACTATTGTACTTTTGCTACCTGATAATCAGCATTGCATGACGTAAGAAGAAAAAGTTCACTGACATATTTGTTTTAGTTTTTGTTTTCCTCAAAGATGCCACTGAGAACTATTTTGTACACAACACTTTTTGTTTCGATTATTTACCATAGTACGTTACCATAGGTTATGTTTGTAACAGGTGGTGTTATAGCATCACCATCACCAGATTATAGAACGTTACGTATCATACTATATCGTTACAAAATATCAATGTTACCTATGGCCATAAAATTGTATGTCGTTTTCTGAATTAAAATATGAATAAATGGAAATAAACAAGTTTTCTATAAGAGATAATCTAATTGTGTTTATTCAATCAAACATTTGTAGAGAATGGAATGTATGACTTACGATTTACAACTGCGTTGGGTCTAACTCTTTGTTTTGATTTGGTTTTACGGCGCATCAACACAATTTAGGTCATATGACGGTTAAAATCTTTAAATGTTCAGTAAGTACCTCACATGGAAGAATCAATAGAGTGGAAATATAATATATAAATTTAGGTTTCGGTGTGATATGTTTTCATAATGTAAAACATGCGTGACAATACCTTATATATGTATATCAATACATGTGTATAATTATGAATCCGAATGTACAATACAGTATAAGTATAAAACATAGAGTAATATACATTTATATCCATACGTTTGTATATGTACAAAACACGTGCGTCAAAAAGATGCAATACAATATAGAAATAAAACACAGAGTAATATACATGTATATGAATGAAAGCTTAGAGACTGTAATGATTAATATCAATATTGTCCTGCTGCATGAAACTGTTTGGTTCCTTTAGCAAATATGTCAATCATTGTCTATATGTAACTAGTTACGATTAGATCTATTTCATAATGTTTGTTTATTTGCCTATAGATGAATAATGCAGAGTTTGTTTGTGTATTGCACAGTGCATAGATAATATTGTTAAAAATGATCTTTTGTCCCTTTGGAATTATTATTGCATTGTTTAGAAGATTTTAACTGTGCGAGATTCCCATATCAACGGAAGTAACATTTTGCGTATACGCAATTTTTGTATGTCAAAAAGCGACGCCCATATGCAACCAATGTTAATAAACATCAATTTTATCAGAGAATACTCTTGTTTTATTGAAGCGTTATACCGGCCAACTTAAGTCTGTATCTTAAGATAATGAAGTAGGGACAAATAAACTATAACTTGCGTTGTTCTTTCAAGCCTATGTTTAACGTATTCGTTTATAAAATTGTTTAGAGTAATCAAAATTTAATCTTATAAACTAGACAATTTCATATCACAATGAAAATGAATTTAAAACACTATAAATGCGTAAGGGTTGGTATACTAATGCACCGATGCCTAATTAGAAGGGCTTGAATTTGAGACCAACCACGGAATATATTTCATCGCAGCTTATTCACCACATTCTGGTGTTGTAATTCTATTTTTCCTTCGGGAAGTTGTGATAACTGTAAGCATTGCTTGTTGTTCAAGGTATTAGTTTTTTGTAACTTAAAAAATGAACATGAGCTGTATCAGATGTAACATGAACACGACAATATTTTCTCCTTTTTAGGATACTTCTGCTTCAAAGATAACAGCCCCTGGTAACACAATCTTCGGATTTCAGATTCTCCTCTCTGTAAAGTACTCCTGTGTGTTTTCATATTCTTTCATTGATGTGTTCAAACAAAAAATATTCTTATCTTATTTGGCAAGACCTACTAAACATCTAAATATAAATCGCGAGAAAATCAAGAAATCGGGAGATAAATCTAAAAAAATCTTAAATTTTATCTGACATTTCATGATAACGTGAACCTACTTTTGCCATTTAATTATTTTCTCAACTTACATTTACATTGTCGTTTTAAGGTTCAAAGAATCTTATATTCAGTAGGATAATGCTAGTCTCTGGTGCTGCACCTATCATAGTGATACAGTACAAAAATAGCCAGAGAAATTGTTTAATTTCAAATTGAAACATAAGTTTGGTAAATAATGATTTACGACTGTTCATATTCTTGACCATTTACTTGACCATTTACATTGACTCGGTAACGGTACTTGCGTAAGTTACATTCGTTTTTTCAACGCACTATAAGGCTTCCTCATCTAAGATGTGGTTCAAACTAATCATTATACTTAAGTCAAACAGTAACCTGCTATTACCATTTTATTTGAATACTTTCTGTATTAATATAATACATTAAAGATGAAACTACAAATCAAATCAATTAACTATTTATATAACAAATTGAATTCAAATTTAATTCCTACGAAATTGTATATTTACTATATTTTGATATTAAGATTATTTACAACATCTGCTACCTAAATATTAACACACACCCTCTCTGTCTCCAGCAATGCCTATATAACTGCATCTGATTACCCTAACATAATGAATGATTGATATAACTGCTTTTTCACCTTCCGCACAGATGTTTAACTTCTTTTGAGTTTATTCTAGCACATTCTGGCTTTAGAATACAACACTTTTACAAACACTACATTGAAACTTATCTATTAAGAATATATTCGCCCATGTAAAACCTATTGATAAATATATACTTGAATTTTTAAACTTTACGATTGAAATGCAAAGTATCACATTTAAAATCTTTAACATTTTTTTATAATATTATTTTTTGTTAATTATAAATAAATATGATTTGAAACACTTTAAAAGTCAATTTTGTTTTATTGCTTTGATAAGAAGTTTTATAATTTGATACACTTACCTTGTAAATGACATGAGACAACTAAATTATTTCATTTCTTTTGGAATGTTATGTTCTATCTTGATGTCTTACTCATGTACGTAAATACAGACTGAAGCCAAAACACATTATAGTGGAAGCCAATTTATTCTCTATCTACACATTTATTTGTTTGTTTACGAAGACTTGTGTCGGGAAGAAGACAAGTTAACTATTTTTGTGCATAAACATCAACTGTCAGTCCTTGAAAATAAAGGAATTAATAAAACCGGATAAGGCGACATACACAATGGCGTGGTGTTTGACTGCGTTCTTGAGACAAAACACTTTACACCATGCACATAACATAGATCCAACGCCAAACACTACATGTTGGCATTTTAAATGTTGTTTTTTTTCTACAGATACACGTATGATTTTATTGCAAAAGATAATCACTTCTTTTTAAACGCTCTTCCATTGGAAATAAAAATGCAGACTGTTTTTGTTACATAATTGTATTTATAAATCTGTTATTAATTATTTAGGAAAATGGTCAATGTTACAAACCACAATGCAATGAAATCATGTCGAATCTTAGTTCACATGTAACTTTTAACTACTGATTGATTTTCAGTTTCAACAACGTATGATATTTAGAAAAAAATACTTTATATTAAATACGGACACATATACCCTTTATTGTATCATTGAATTGACTGATTGGTTAAGAATCTTTTGTCAATGATAAGACGTCTCGATATGAAAGCATGTTTACTTTAGCACACATGTTTAGTACGGAATGCCGCCAAAACAAATAATAACACACCAATTTATTCTATTTTTGTATATGACTTATTTGTTTACCCTGTGTAAATAAATAGTAGTTTAAATATTCCCTCTTTTTAACTAGATAATAACGTTAGTTACTTTATTTATCAGACAAAAATCTCACGTTAGATTCCTTTGTAATGTTAAACGTTTAAAACAGATATGGCATCCTTAATTGCATTTCTTTATAACAAAATGCAATATAACCTTACTATATTATAATTTTATTGCAATGTAGTCAGTAAAAGTATGATAGTACCTGTATGTAACATAGCCGTGTATATGTATATCTGTATTAAATGAATTATAAAGGGTATAACTTTGTTTACATTTTGCTACCTTTTTGACAATTTATTTCACAATCAATGTTGTTTCATTTAGATGATAAGCATCTCACATGTCTACAACATTGTTACACACGTGTCTACCCTTTCTACAGAAGAAACTGAGACTAAATGTGTCTTTAAGCTACATATAAAAAGAGATCTAAGCTAATCTAGCTGGTATTTGTTACATTTTCACGAAAGTATGGCGTTCCAATGATGTTCCAATGTCAGTTTATTCTGACCTTATTCAAAGCAAAATTTGCAGAATGCAAAACAACCTTAAAACATGATGCTGATTATAAATAATAATTGCATATATATAAGCATTCATTCACTTTATATATTAAATATTACTCTTCAAATAGGAGTAAATATCCGTGCATTCATATTTTTTCTATTGAGATATAAAATCAAGATTATGGCAGAACAAGAAGGTAGGCTTATCAGTAATGTTTTACAAGGTACTAGAGCAGCTGAGAGTTGATGATTCATTCATAGAAACTATCAGAGATACGTTATATACATGTGTTAAACATATCTTCTCCAGTTTCCACTCAATTTCGTACAAATCTTAATGTAACCTGTCGGGGGTCAAGAAGTTTGAAGAATGCGCTTCTGTATGCGCTTCTTAATCGTGGATTTTATAGAAGGCGAATATAGATTATGTTTGGGAATGATATAAATTTGTAATAGATTTATCAAAAAATATTGATATGCAAGGTTTATTGTATAAGCAGTAAGAAAATATCGAACTTCTGAATCCAACATTTGGCTAATCACGTAACGAATTATTCCCAAGACTTTATAAAACATATTTTTGCTGATACATAACATATCAAAGCTCTAGTAAATTTTAAAGATCATCAAAAATTGTACTACAATGCATTCAGGAAAACATTATCAAAGTGGAATCATTAAAAACTAAACAAAAACAATCCCAGTACATACCTTTGCGCCTAGTTGTTTATCCATTGAAACAAAGAGTTCAAGAAAAAATAGTTCCACTTGGTTAGTACATCGATTTTTCAGAGAATGAGGCAGTAAAGTTAAATATAAGTATAGTGTATTTACCTGTCTGAATTATGCAGATGGAGAATATAATAAAGCTACCTTAGCTGTGTGTAATGAACACGTTTATTGGCTGACTGGAATAAATGAAAACATATTCAAAACTTGAAATATTTAAAGACAGGCTTCTAAAAATAGATTTTTAATGTAGAAATAACATAATTGTAAAAACACGTAACAGTATATTTGTAATCAGACAATATGTGTTTGCAAAATTGACAGGACTGTAACATTCTGGTTAACCTACACAATAATGCATTTGAGACAAACAAAAAGATATTCTTTGGAAGGCATTTTTTTTTCGATAGTACTCTCGATATTCAATTTGCTAAAACTTTCCTTTATACTTTTTAATGATTCAATAACTTTCCTAACCAGCATGCCTACAGATTTATGCTTATGTTCATGAAAATTTTGCAACTGTTTTAAAAAGGAAAATAGTTTCAAGAAAGCTTTGCAAACGGCATTTTTAATCCACGTAAAGTACCAAATTAATATCAAATTATGCAACAAAAAAAACAACAAAAAACAACAAAACAACAACAACAACAAACAAACAAACTTATCGTTGCTATGTAAAATTCCAACAAATGTACATAATTTTTCATTGTTTATCATCGGTGTACATGTTGTCTCTGTTTATCATCGGTGTACATGTTGTCTCTGTTTATCATCGGTGTACATGTTGTTAGTTACTGTTGTTACAATGTAAACTACATGTCAATGTACACTTCTATACTATTAAAACCAAGTAGTGGTTTTGATGCTAAAGCATCAAGTCGACGGATAGACAAATGATTGTATTATCATAAATATAATTAAATACCAGTTAGATGGCCTATTGGTAAGTATAACTTATAATAAGATGTGACCTAGTAGACACAAAAACGAACCTTGGACAAATCCTTTTTGTAGTTTTCATAAATTGATTTTTTATTATATCTTTCATATTATATGAAACAAAAGTTGATAAATCGTGTGTTTCTTTTTTAGCATTTTTGTAATAAATATTTTTGCCGACTTAACATTGTGGTAAAATTTTGGAAAATATAAAAAAAATCATAGAAATATAAAAAATCACTTTAGTGCAATTCTACTGTAAAAGTGGTGTTTGCATAAAAAATTATCCTCATGCGCTATCGAAAAAATATAAAATTTAGTTGAAATCAATATTCCCGTCGTTACATAGTTAACGTTTTATTGCCTTTCAGTGTGATACAATATCATCACAAAAATAGTTTCTTAGTTTTCTCTATGTATCTAAAACGATTCGGATTCAGGGATGTTCCCCCTACCGTCATACGTTTTGGAAACCTGTTCAACGGAAATCGACGGAATATAACGAAATCAACGATTACCACTATGTGCCTCTTAAGCATGCATTTATTTTGTGACGTTCAACCTAAACTAAACGTCAGAAGTTTGACAGAAAGGGTCAAGTTTAACGCTTTACCAAGAAAAAAATCTATTTTAATGTGTGAAATATGAGTATATAGACCTTTCTAAGGATATAAAATACGAAACTGATGAACGAAAATTAACTTTGTGTAATTTTTCATACAAAAATACTGTGATTTTCACTTTATAAGCTGCCATACCTCACAAGTTACCTGTATGTCTTATCAGCAATTTGTTACTATTAATAGATTTTATAACAATTACAATGTGTAGTCACGTGATTCTTACACAAGAGCAGGGAGAAATTGTTTATAACTTAATAAAATAATAAAATAGAATAGGTCTCATAAGATATAAATAACCAGATAATTTAAAAGTATTATTTCAAATATAATGCATGATTTATTTATCATTAAATAGCAACCCTTGACACTTATATATAAGTACAAAAAATGTATCCCTAAATTCAATGACTTATCCATAGGGATACATTATTAATTCATTTTATCAAAATTGCAATGGTGCTTTTAAAGATGTCAGTATTTGTATATTTCATTTCATTGAGCAAAGTTATTATATGTTTGATTTTTTTAGATAACTTAATATAATTGTGTTCTTTAATTGTTCAATAATTGGTTTGCTTGTATTTTCAAATTTTTAGGCCTTCTCCAACCATAGATATAATATTTAACTGTTATAAATAGTGTCGCCGGTTTCTACCGGCGATTAATCATGCACATATTTTCTATTGTAAGTACCTAACATGTGGAAAGGAATTTACCTCAGTCATGCTGGCCTTGTTTTCTAATCCACGAAAATATGTATTAGATAAATGCTTACTATATATATTTTGCTTTGCAATTTCAAATAAAAAATAATGTTAAAACTTATGCACACATTGTACCAATGTACCGTGCACGCCTATATATTCTTGCATAAACAGGATATTTTATTGTTTACACCGATGATGGAAAAACATAAAAACCCGTCTTAGAAACACCGCATGGACTCGTGTTGAAAATATGGAACCGCTTAAAGCGGTGCTAGAGGGTCGTTAGAAATTTTGCACCTTTTCAGAATCACTCATGTTCAGACTTAATTAAGCCGAGTCTGCAATTGTAATGTTATTTTGTTGTGATAAGGTGTCAAGTGCCGTATGCCAGTTGTAAAATGTTGCCCTGTATTTTATTCAGCGTTATTATATTTTTCTGGTCCATCAGGATAATCAATTATAGCACTTTTAATTGTTGAAAATTGAGAACCGCTCAAACCAGTGATAGGATCTTGAGGGATGTTGGGCCTTTTAATTATGTCTCATGTACAGACTCAATCAAATCGAGTCTGCAATTGTAATGTTATTGTCTTGTCATTAATGTCGTTAAATCACCTCTTTTCACATTTTTAAATGGCGTCTTTCCTGCACGCTTGTATGACTAAATTATACTGCGTGATTTAGATGCTAATTTTGCCGCTATGAGTGACGATATAAATTAATACGCTACAATCAAAAAATGCTAATAAAAAAAGTAATTGCATTTTCTTTCTTAATCATTATTTATATGAATTATGAAAGGAAAAATATGGTTGTCGTCTAAGACGAGGATATTTAGCTCGCTGCCCGGGTAACTGTTTACTTGAAACTCGTGAGAGTCTCTTTACCACCGTTAACAGTAACCCTTATGTTAGATATTTCGATCGACAACCAGTATAAGCTTCTTGTGCGAACAAAATACGCATATTGTAAATTGTATCTGCAGTAATATGTGCTGACACAATAACACATATATTTACATGAGAAATATGTCCGCTTATGAACAAAGAAATTATCGAATCATTATTTCAAACCGTGACAGGAATAACCGTTTCAAATTCAAATGTGACATTACATAACATTGATTTACATCATCGAGAAGTTAAAAAGTAAGTTTTTTTCTACTTAAATGTTATGAAATTTGCAACAGTGCATGTAAACTTAATATAAAACGGGTTTTTTTGCAACTTAAATTATCGACATGTTACGGTACAATTCATATCATATAACATCAGACAGGAGATTTGATTGTTCACACTGGTGCCAGAAAAAAATAATAATACATCCCGTTGCCGGCTTTAAATGACGTCATTCCCTCGCACCTTTTATAAATTAATTGGTGCTTAGGAAAATTAGGATGACTTCTTTTCACCGTAATGAATGAAGATTTGAATTCATCAAGACTGATCAAAAGATACAGGATCAAACACTTGCTATTCCCATACGGGAATATCTAGCTAACTGGTAACTGTTAAGAATAGTGTTGTTACGTTTAAGCTACAAACCGGTCTTCCGTTCTGTACCGAAAGTCGGTGAATAAGTATTGAAGTGTACCGTTATCAGGTATGCTTACCATTTTAATTTTATTGTTTTGGTTTCATTTATCCTCACTGTTAAAATGATTTCATATGAGTGCGACTATAGTACCGTCGATGGCGTCCGTTTTCAAGCTGTCTGTTCTGTTGTCCGTAGGCTGGGGCCTGCCATTGTCAATGATGAAAAAGTATCGAGGTGACAAGGCTCTTCTCTTTTTCGAAGTTAGTCATAACAGCTTATACTAAGGATGAATGTGGGAATAACATGCAATGAGCATTCTATGCGACGTACACGCTTTGGGGTAATGCACACAATTACAAAAGTATTTATACTGCTATTGCTGTTGTAAACCGTTATTAATGTATGTTTCCCGTTTTCTGGTTTGAGGACCGTTATAGTCTGATTTTATTGACCCGTCAATTATGAATGATTAAATATTCGATCTCACTTCGGTTTTGTCCGTGTCGTTCACGAAAATTAATATGGAGTATATAACTACTGTTTTGAAGGTCACACCAGCTTAAGGTAATGCTCATCGACGTCTGTGGTTTGATCCCTACTGTTGCCATTGTTTTAGAACTTCACTTTTTTGCAGTATACTTTAATGGAAATGGCCGAGTGCTTGCATAATTGTCTACAGAGGTATGAAACAACTGAGAAACATTGTTTTGTGTCGATTTGTATTGTGTTTTACGGCATTAAAATGACATTAACTGATTTTAATCCGAATGAATTTTAGATATAAATTATTAAACGAGTATAGACTTAACCAACATAAGCCCGAAACATATTAAAACAAAACGAACAACATAAAACAATCATAGATAAAAAATGTTGAAGATATAAAAAGAAAACATGGACCAACGCACCGATGACGTACGGGGTCTAGATCTTACAACACGTGACACGTGGGACAATTAGAAATTACCAACCCGTGGAGTACCCTATTAGCTATAACGCGTAGTGCAATAAAATCGCAGATAAAAATTAAATTAACTCACATCGTACTACGTACATCTCACATACCATCGAAGATTATATTATCTCTATCATGCACTATTCGGTACGGAGGGTAGCCGACGGGAGTGCTTATTTGCAAAAAAATACGCTAACAATTCCTATAACCATTCGTAACTGAAGGATAAACTAATGCACACATTGAACTCTACCATACACGCCTATATATTCTTGCATAGATAGGAGTTTTACTGTTTACATCAATGCTGGAAAAATAATTATCCCCGTAGTGTTGAAAATATAGTACAGCTCAAACCG